TGGTGTCTGGCCAACGAATCCGAAGTATTTTGCGTAGACAACCGTTAATAAACACTTGTATCTTCTGGATGATGGCTTTCGTAGTTCTCCAAGTTTCCACTCCATACAGTAGAACTGTCTTGACATTTGTATTGAAAATCCTGATTTTGGTTTTGGTTGAAAGTTGTTTGGAGTTCCAGATATTTTTCAACTGTAGAAAAGCAGCCCTTGCTTTGCCAATCTGCATAATATCCACCTTGATTGTTGATGATGCTGCTAAGATATGTAAAGGTGTCAACGTCCTCCAAAGAATCTCCATCAAGCGTGATTTGGTTGGTGCATGTTGTGTTACATCGAAGAATTTTGCTTTTTTTTATGTATGTTGAGACCTACTACTACAGAGGCTGCTGGTACAGTGGTAGTCTAGTCGTGCATTTGTTGTTGCGTGTGCGATAGAAGAGCCACGTCATCTGCGAAGTCCAGATCGTCCAGCTGCGTCCTAGCTGTCCAGTTGATACCGTGCTTCCCTCCAGATGTCGACGTCTTCATAATACAGTCGATCACCAGGAGAAAGAGAAAGGGTGAGAGTAAGTAACCTTACCTGACACCGGTCTTCACCTCGAAAGAGTCTGTCTGTTGACCTCCGTGCACGATTTTGCAGTTGAATCCATCATAAGAATTCCGTATGATGTTAACTATTTTCTCAGGCACACCGTAGTGTTGAAGAAGTCTCCACAGTGTTTTGCTATCCACGCTATTGAATGCTTTCTCGTAGTCGATGAAGTTGATGTAGAGTGGTGAGTTCCATTCAATTGATTGTTCCACAATGATCCGTATGTAGCAATTCGGTCAGTTTACGATCGATCCTTACGAAATCCACCCTGTTGATCTCGAAGTTGGGTGTAGTGAATGTGAATGTAAATATATTTGCAGTTGCTTCCACATTCAATTTCAAGTTAACCATAATTATCGAACTAAAAAAAGAGAAAAGGAATGCAAACCGAACCTCTACAAAATAGTTTAAACTAATTTTACTATAAATGAAAATCATTACAATGAATGTTTTGATACAAATAAAAAGTTAAGAAATTTGAGAATTCATCTTTGTGTGATTCCAACTAACAATCATACATTTCTTTCGTTTATGATAAATGTTAAACTTAAGATTTTGCAAAAATGTTCTAGTAATTTTAATGTAACATATAGAAAAACAATAACAGGGGTACATTTGATTTATGACAATAATAGACATTTGTTATAAGTACCAAAAATAATAATTATTATAAAAAAGTTAGAGTAAAACTATATTTTACTACTAAAATTACAATATTTTGAATATTATTCGATTCAAACAAATACTATCGTACAAATAAAATGTTTCGATTGTGTTTTATCTTAATGGTTAGTTTCTAAAACAACAACATAAATTCATCGAAGTGGTCGTTATAACTAGACAATGTTAACTACTTTTAATGGATAACTTATTATCTAGAATAGAATGAATGCATTACTAACTGTATTGGTTTATTAATGTTATTACAATAGAATTTTCGGCCCAGTGGTCCAAAGGTTAGGCCTTTGCGCACAATCCCGAAGGTCACCTGTTCGAATCCTGCGAGATGCAGGAGTTGTGAATGCGCACTGCTGATGAGTCCCATATCAGGACGAAACTGCCGTCCAGTGCTTTCGGGTTTCTGATGGTGGTCTAACAATGATTGATTGATGATTTCAAATGTGTAAAAATCACTAATCTCCGTAATGCATTGAAAAAGTGAATAAATAGCAAAATATTAGTAATATATATGTTAATACTTAACCACAAACAAGTTTGTTAATTATAATTATCGAATGATGTTTGGTTGATTTGAATTGGAAGTTAATCAGTCGAATATAAGAATAAATGAATTAATCAATATACTAAGGAATGGCTAATGTCAACCTTTGTTCAAATAAATATTCAAAATGAAACTTAATAACATGGTCATACTATGAATATAGTTGATTGTTTGAAATTGTTGGATTAGAAATTAATCATTTTGAACAAACAAGTGAATTTTTACTTTGTTGAATAAAATAAACAAACGTTTATTTCACTGATTAAACTAGAAGTAGAATCTAAAATTACTATTCAGGAAACATCAACTGAATTTCTCTATTCATTGGTTATAATATCCAAATTGTTAACAACTGGCTCAAAGTGTGTATCATCCATTATCATTATTCTGTTACTGTCATTCAAAACAACATTTGATTTGACTTCCTATCGAAGTATCAGCAGTGGCCCCTGCTCGGGCACTTATGAATCAACAAGCTCCATCCAACCAGTCCACTACCTACAAACCTCAATCGGCAAGGGCGGCAAGGCGGGATTACCCGGCTGGAACTGGCACCCCGAAGCGGATTACCGAGCCACCCAAGCAGTGCACTAGCCAGAAGCCATTCCAACCGTCTGGCCTTCAACTGCCTTGCGCTGATACAATCGATCGGAGTCCCCAAGGCCCCACATGAAGCTTAAGATCGAGTTTGTCCCACAAGGTCAGCCGGAACGTACACCTTTTCTTGAGGAAGATGTCATGAGCTCGACCAAGCTCAAGAGCTCAGCGAAACAGGGTTCATCCCACTACGTAAGTGGGCAGATATCATTGGCGTCCAGTACCAGTTCAGTACTTAAACCCCGGAACCCTATTGGTGACCCTTGTTTAAGGGGCCTCGACGCCAATTCACATACTACATCGGTTGCAGAGTGTAAGAGACAACCACATATGGTCGGCGTCAATAGTCAAGGATGTCTATGGCTGCTTCCCCAAACAGAACATCCAGGGCCGCCTTCAATCATCCTGGAAAGCTACATCTCTTTCAAGGTATTTGCTACTACAAAGTGACAGAGGACAAGTCCTCAAACCATTATCGGAATTTACTTACGCTCGATGGACGGGATTCAGACTGAGAGACGTTCAGTCATAATCCCCCAGAGTGGCTAACTGCATCCACAGCCTTGCGACCTTGAGCACGTTCCATTGTTCTGGACCATGCTAGGCACGGTATCCTAAGCGTTCGGAACGGCTCTTAGCAGCAGCGCTGTAAAGAACGACACGTTGCATGGCAGGACGACGAAGAGGTAGCCGTCACCACAACCCCAAAAGTCTCCATTTATGCGCGTTACCTAATATACTCATTCGACCTTCGATATTGTGCGCGAACGCCTGATTTGTTTTTCTTTTGTCCGATCAGAAATACATGGAAATCAAACTATACACAATCGCTTCCATTTAAGTAACCTAAAATTTACATGATTTGCATTAAATGTGAGTCTAAGTCTTAACAATATGATCTAAATACATTCTTTCAACTAATCGAAATACGTACTACCTTGTAAACATTCTCTATTTCTCAAAAATCGGATTGCTGAGAACCTACACAACTTCATTAGTTCAATTTTCTAAAATAAGCTTTTGTTTTCAGTTAACTTCAAATGATTTAATTTATAGAAATTTGATATTATTAGAGACAAACCAGTCAAATTATCTGCATTTTATTTTTATGAATCTAGTACTAAGACACATTTTGGCGCCCTGGAAATTCATTTACCGTCAGCTTCTCAAATAATTTTCTTATGTTAGTAACATCAAACAGTTGAAAGTATAATGAAGCGATACTTATCACTTTATTGAAAAGTTTTATTTGCTTTAAATATCATTTAAATTATGTATGATTCCAACATTTACCGATTTCATTAGACTTACAACAAGTTAATAAACAAATACGTAGTGTCTTTGTCACTATAGAGTTATGGAGATCATTATTTGACTTTGAAGTCGTGATTTAATCATCATTAGACGACCATTGGAAACCCGGAAGCACTGGACAGCCGTTTTGTTCTGATATAGGACTCATTGGTAAGGCGCATCAACGACTACCGCTACTAGCCGAACTCAAACCCAGGACCGTCGGTTATGCTCGCGAACGCTTAACCTCTGGACCAATGAGCCGGCATCCAATGGCGTTATTGTCTAACTCTGATCATCCTAAGGATTTTGCACAACTTCACTCATTATCTTTCGTGGTTACTGCCTACATCCCGGGTTCTAATCCTGCGAGTAGAAGGAGTCATGTATGCGCACTGTTGATGAGTCCCATATGAGAACGAAATGGCTGTTCAGTGCTTCCGGTTTTCCAATGGAGGTCTAATGATGATTAAATCATGATAAATGTAAATATACCGTGTCGTCTAGATTTCAGTGTGTGGGATAACTCACTGTCTTACACTACGTCATGTATGTCTGCTCATCAATAATTAAAAACATGTTTTCCACGAATAATATTTCTTCTTCAGTGAAACTACATGTAAAATGTTACCATTCATTCTTGTAACAAAACTATCCTAACTATTTATTTTACCCTATCTTACTTAGCTCACATATTCATACTGCAACTTATCAATGCTATGATCACGTTATATTTATCTTGTTTACTTCTATAGCATCAGCTCACAAAATTATTGATTATTACTAGCATTGTAAGCTAGGCTTAAACGTAGATATAAATAGTTGAATAATCTCTCTATCAGTGTGTTTTTAGTGATACACTTATCAGCACCAATAAACTTTAACTGTCAAAAATCTATTCACTATTTAATTAGCTCATACTAAAACAACAATTCATACCCACCCCCACTAATCATGTATACTGAAATAGTGTTTGTGATCATTTAACTGCTCACAGCTTATCTATTGGTTGATTAGTAGAAATTTGTAACTGGAAAAAAACAACCGATATAAAAATGAACTAGATAAATCGACAAAAAAAAATAAAGGAGAAATTCAAATGCAATAAGTGAATTCATTTTATCCTAGTCCTTCAACTGCACTATTGTTATTCCATTGAATTAATCTCATTAGTAGTCATACAGCAGTAATATAAATTTTCAAACTGAAAAAAACCGAAGAGATAAAGTAAGATTGTTATGTAATTCCCCTTTAACTTTCTCTTATTTTTCTATTTCAGTACATTTTTAAACAACAATGAAATCAAAGCGTTCATCTAGTAAGATACGTAATTCCGAACCGATAGACGATGTACTACGTCATGTGGGAACCAAGCAATATCTGTTTCTGGAAACACATATTTGTACCATATATCGTGTAACATGTGCACCTGGTGAAACATTTACTGAATCGAAAGCTTTGTCATTAGTAGAGAAATATCATCGTAAAAGGCAATCACATTGTAATGCTGGTTTACTGGAAGATCGATTTAGTTTGGAACGAACAAAAACTACTGGAAAAATACCATTTCGTCCATGGGTATCATACAAAGAAATTATGCATTTCTATGTAAGTCATTCTAAACCGGAATTCTTTGTATTATGCATTGATTCACAACGAAGTTTACAAAAATATTATGAAATATACAAATGTAAAAGTGCAGTAAATGTTAGAAAAGTTGAAGAATTAATGAGACGTGCAATGAATGATCCGGACAAAAAACTACATGATGTCAATGCACTAAGACAAGTGCCAGTGAAAGACAGTGATCGAATCCGTTCTCTGCCAAACTTTGAAGAAGAAAATGTACGTGATACCACCGTTGAAGACAGATCTCCTTCACCACCATATCAGTATCCATCGCCAGGACCAGTACGTCAGCTGCCTTCTCCTGTAATGATAGCCCCAGTAAAACAAATCCCTGTATACAATGCAGTAGCACCTAGCCCAGCAATTAATTTCGAACGATATAATGTTGATGATTTAGAGAATGTTACATATATCAAACTGGATCCTAACAGAGGTCCAATGATTGATAAAGAAGGACCAATTTATATGTTTTTTTCAAGACAGAACAATAATCTCAATGACTCAAATATTTACAACAACTACGCTAATCATAATAGTTCACCAAATTGGAACAGAAAGACAAAAAACTCTAACGTAATGTATTCACCATGATCCAAATAAAAGAGCCATACTCCATCGAATGAATAGTATACTAGATTTTTATTTACACCACAAAAGTTCACTAGCCTTTATGCATGCATGCACAATTAAACGTAATCAACAAAATGAGGAAATTAACCCAAATCACTCTACTCATTTCATATTGCAATTTACAATAACATCCCAGCTTTATCATTTGTCTGATATTATTGTTGCTTTATGCGCTTCTTTTAATTATTAAAAAAATAAAGAACAATGTTTTCGTTTCGATTGTTTAGTAACAATTTATCCATAATTACTCACTCAGGTTAGTAAAAAATTGTTACTACACAAATCCTATGTTCAATTTCTATATTTTTAAAAAAGAAACAAAATCTTTTCGCCATAATCATGAAGTCTGTCTCTCTATGATGATAGTTGATTACACAAACCAACAAATTTCACTATATTTCTGTTTATTTCTACACATAATGTGGGGGTTTCATTGTTTTAATGATTAGCGAATAATTTAGTCATCCTAACACTTCATAAAGTTATGCTTCAACGATGAATTATACATATATATATATATATATATATATATATATATATATATATATATATATATGCTCGCTTTTTGTGTATGGATACTTATTTCATAAAGATTAGCCATTTATTATGAACACTGTTTTGTTATTACCAAAGGATACAGTTATATTTATATATATATATGGTTAATATTGTTGATTTTACTTACACTAATGCATAAATATATGTTTTCATCTTGTGTTTGTTTTTATTCAATAATAATTGGGGGTTGGTTAAGTAAAAATCAATTATCTATTCTCCCTTTATTTTGTATCTTATCGCTTGGAAGTATTGAGACAATAATTTTTTTTTATGATTAAGCTATTTTCATGCTATTTTTCAATTCTTAACAAAATTGTACGCAATGAATTATTAATACTGCTATGTTAAGAAAGTAACATTTCTTTTGCATACATCAATCTCATTTATATATCATACGATTGATTTCAAATGTTCAATTGTATGAATATCAGGTTTTCATTCTCTTTTTTTGTTTGATTTTAAAACTGATGTATGTATGTTTGCATAAAACATAAACCAAAATGATGTTTTGTTTAATTCGGCTTGAAACATGACAGATGTGCAAATTATTGATCGTTTCAATGGAACAACTTTCTATCATGGAAGCATTAGATTTTGAATGACAGATAGAATGCACATTGTAATGTATGTGATCATTGAAGATGAGTGATTTTTTTATTGATCCATTTGGAGCGATCACTGAATTACTGAATTTCAATAGTCTTGTTCTACTTTTTACCTCTATTTATTTGCAGAATATTTAGCTTGATGTTTAGTGTTATCTATCACTGTTAATGCAACGCGATCACCAAGTATAAATCTCTTCGTTTTGGTGCTTTCTTGTCGACCTGAAATAAATTTCAAATTCTAAACTTTTGATATTGCCAAAACAATTAGCTTCAACTCAGAGAATGAGTAAATCGTTAAGTGAAATTACTTTAAACTAAATTTTCAACTACATTTCTTATGAAACACAATAGAATTAACAGTTAGCGCTACTTTATTTATATATTATTTCAAAGAATAAAATGACAGTTAATTAAAATCTATGAGCCAACTCAAAGTTTAAAATGTATTGAATCTGAACAGGATTACGAAATCTATCAAAATGTGATGAGTTTTAGACTTTTCAACTGTTATTGAACAGGCTAGAGTGAGAAACATAGACCTCCAGATGCCTGGTAGTTTGCATTTTGGGCGGGGCTTAAGCTGTAAACTCATCGTTTCCATGCATTTGTGATTTGGCCTTTCTTAATAACTACCGCACAGACGACTAGGTAACACCAATCGAATCCGCTTACGTTAGGATCTGTTCACTGAAGTAATAAGTTACAATTGAGCTGTAAAAGAAACACTTTTCACATATGTTGTTCTGGTAGATTTTTTCCCGTTAATTTCAAAATAAGAAACATATGCATTTCAATGTGAAATTAACAATTCTGAATTTGATGGCAAACATAACTAGAAAGCTAATCAATGACTTGTAAAACTATTTAAGATCACTAAAATACTGCGTTTGATGCTATCAGTCGTATAGAACTAGATTAAAATGGTGAACAGCCTATAGATGTCAGGTATTTACAAACAACCAAGTCCTTTCACATACTTAAATAGAACTACAATATTACCGATTCTGTATTAACACAGAACTTTTTTTTCATTGCTTCTCCTATATAACAATCAGATAGAAAGCAAAAAAAAGTATTTTGTTATGTCATTCAGAGTTCACAAGTATCCTTTGCGTACATAAAGTGATACTATGAATAAATGATAATCAGAGTGCATATTAGAAAATTGTGTGTAGCAAGCCATAGAAAAATTCATCCGGAGCAACAAAAAACCAGTTACAAGTTCCATTATGAGCAAGGAATGGTTAATTTAGAAAAGTAGTTTTTATGTGAACAGTGATTTTCTTGATCATGCGATTTTGATAACGAATAAAAAAGATGTTTATGCAAGGAATCATGTAATCAAATTTACGGAAATCAAATAATTCCAGTTTAATGACAAGATTAATCTGAAATTTAAAACTGACTTTAAACATTTGGCTAGCTGAAGTTTCATCAAAATTCAGTAAGCTTAAGCTGAACTGTTTGTTAATTAAATCTAGTAATTTTGAAAAATATTGACATTATTCGCGCTTTCAAGATACAATGGATTCACTAAGATTTTACTTTGATGTAGTGTTAAATGTAATGATCACATATCTTGTGCTGACTGATACACACACACACACAAACACACAAAAGTCTAAGAGAACAGTTCCAACTCAATAACTAAAACTAAATTCTTTTGTTATTTATTCAGTGAAGTTAACTATTCGTATGTAAATGTAGACAAAAGGAATCAAACACCTGTCATTGAAACATTTTCATAGTTAAAAAACAAGCAAGTACACACTTTATGAAAATTAAACATAGTAAACAATTGAAAAGAAAGTATATCAAACTACCAGCAGCAAAACAATTTCAACCATCATTCACATATAAAGTCTATTATGAATGACAGTCTAGACAAAACAGTTTATAGATTTAGTATGGTGATAGTGATACTATAGTTCGGCGCACAAGTTTAAGTAAAGATGTAATAAAGAAAGCTTAAAACAAATTTTTGTCAATTATACAGTTATCAGGAAACATGAAATCGGTTACCAGTCTGAAGGATTTTAAACAATAAAATGATTTTCTAATTTGTGACTTTGTTAAAGTAACAAAAATGAGATTTCAGATCACTGGTAAGAGAAGATTTCTAGCAAATTTTGACGGCACGTCTCAAACTGGTAAGAATTACCATTTCCCTATTTCTGACATAAAAATTTAGACAATTTCGACTACAATTATAAGGTTAGGAAGAGCGATGTATGTTAGGCTATTTATTGATAAACAAGTCTCGTTTGATTTCTTGTATTTATTTTATATTGCCAAGACAGTTTTCAAAACAAACAGATTTGAGGTTGACATATGTATATGTATGATATGATCTAAAAAAAAGTAAACAATGTAGGCTGTTTTTATACGCAGTAGAGCATTTCGGCATGAGAATCTGCATAGAACGAAACAAAGCCCACATGTATTAGTGAGTCAATATCTGCATTTACTCCGTTCATAGTCAGTACATATTAAAAGTAACCTTAGAACAAACATGTATAAAATCTGTGCTAAATGCATTTGTGCCAGAGAGTCATGAATGTAGATTCTTTGTCTGGGAATAAACTTACAAACCATTGTTTTCTAAGTTAGATGATTCATATTTGGCTTCGAACACTGCCTTCAGCTCAGACCACATAAACATAAATGCGAAGTTATACTATCCTACACATTTATTATTATTATTATTGGTTTTAGCACAAACGTTATTGATTGATCAGCTGAATTCGAAAATAGAAACCATTGTATTTTAACTCCATAGTCTAAAAGACCAAACTCTTACTATAAAACCCAACGATCAAAAGTCGATCTGTGGTGAAACAAAGGGTATGAACTGTTGGGAAAAAGAACACGGCGGCGAAACAGATTTCTAGTAACTGCTAGTTACCACATTATCCAAGTCGTTATCAAACCTTAACCATCATTATAAACATATGTTTGGATTTCTGTTCATTTATTGTTGCAGTTACCATTCGAAACATTTGATTTTTTAAATTTTTTGTGTACTAGTTAATATAATTTCAAAAAGGGAGTGAAGAGAAGCAACAGAGCTGACAAATATGGAGGATCTAGCGATGACGTCAAAAAAGGCTGTAATAGAACAGAATGTGCGAAAAATGTATGATACCACAAAGGGAGCTCTCTGGAATTTATCGTAAATCAGAACTATCAGTGAAAAGCAAGGAAGGCAAAGTAATCAGCAACACTGAAGAACGATGAAACAGGTGGTTAGAATAATTCAAAGAACTCTGGAATTAACCAACTACACTGAATCCATACCAAATCAGTGCAACACCCACGGACCATCCAATCAATGTTGGCCCTTCAGCAATTAATGAAAGCACTATGGCCATCAGAAAAATCAAAAGTGGCAAAGCAGAGGAATCAGACAATACTCCAGCAGAGGCATTGAAAGCAGATATAGAAGTAACTGCAAAGATACTACACATTCTCTTCAGCAGGATTTTGGACCGGGAAAAAGTACCAATAAACTGGAAAGAAGGAAACTCCATCAAAATACCGAAGAAAGATGATCTTCGAAAGTATAAGAACTGTAAAGCCATCACTCTGCTATTATATCCAGGGTAAGTTTTCAACAGAGTGTTGTTAAACCGAATAAAGGACTCTGTAGACACCCAACTTCGAGATCAACAAGCTGAATTCCGTAAGGATAGATCGTGTACCGACCAAATTGCGACATTACGGATCAATGTGGAATTCAGAGCTCTACATTAACTTCATCGACTATAAGAAAGCATTTGATAGCATGGAAAGAAC